CATGTACATACAGCTTATAAAACACATTTAACATATAATAAAACATATACAAACATCAATTACATATACATATACATTTAAAAACATATGTAATACGTAATAAAACACCAATTACACCTTATAACTCAGTGTCAAGAGTTAAAGTGCTTATACTACATAAATTACATAACACGTATATGTAATTATGTAATATTAATAATAATAATAATTAATAGTAATCATTAAACCCTAAACCATAGTAATGATACAAACAAATATCACTACAATTAGGTTTGGAGAGGAGAGTATATAAACCCCTCCTCTCTCAGCCTTCAGGGATTGTCCCTCAAGCATTTTATTACACAACTCTTTTAAAGAACACTTTAAAGTTCCTTTGAAGTACATAATCAAAAGTCTTATAAATATAAGACTAGTGATTCACTTCATATCTTTAAAGTATATTCCTGACTAAAAGATAAAGTAATCTTATTCTTCCCCCTTTGAATCCTCTACTTCCCTCAAGTAGAACCCTTGTACTAGGTTAGTGCCCTTCCAATAAACAATCAGGTTAGTCACCTTCAGAACAACTACAGGTTAGTGACCTATATCAACTCATAGGTTAGTGTACCTTCAGAAAAACTACAGGTTAGTGACCTATATCAACTCATAGGTTAGTGTACCTTCAGAACAACTACAGGTTAGTGACCTACATCAACTCCAGGTTAGTGACCTCTTGAATAACTATAAGTTGGTGACTTTATCACAACCAGGTTAGTGACCTCCATATCACTCTTCAATCTGTTACCTGAAAGATTGAAGGGGAGCCTTGGATCCAGTTTTCAACAATTATAACATCTTATAATTAAAACCTTGAACCTCCTTTTTAGGAGTCATTTAACTGTAGTCTGTCTGGGTGTATCCAAACAGACCAGTTCCCCTCTTCCCCTTTCTCTCCTTTCTTAATAAATTTATTGTAATACATTATATTTGAAATATAACTTTAATTATCAAAATTTACCAACATACCTTGCCATTTTAGTAAGTCTTGAGTACTCTTTTGAATACCCAACCCTCACACTTTGAACCGTGAAGTATAATCCCGGCAATAAAGCCGGAAAGAGTGGGATGGGTTGGCGATGCAAGTATGTTTGGCATAGGAGTACTCCTAGCAACGTTGGGCTGGTGCGTTGCTCAACGTGTGCAACGTCAAGCAACGCCGAGCAACGGAAAACAGGGGCGACGCACCGCAGCGCACCGTGCCGCACCTTTGCCTGTTGCGTTGCCCCTTGGGGCGAGCATAGAGTACCCGTTGCTTTGCGGTTGTGGCCCCGTTGTCCGCAACGGGGGTCAGAAACGAGGGTCCAACCTTGCCTCCTGGGACTTCCACTGCTAGCTCCCGATTGGTAGATAACAACTCGATCTAGTCACTCAAACATACAACTCCTTGCTTCTCCGTCCAACGATGGCCTCCTTTGGAAGATCTCACCCAATCTGGAAGCGATTCAACCTGATTTACTCGAAGATGAAAGACAAACAGACCTTCAACTTCGATTCCGAGTTTCCTTCGATTTCAAGCTCAAGCTTCTTTTGTGTCTATTTCCCTCCTCCTTTTCACAGTTTCAACTACAATCACGTTATTATTCTCACTTTTCAATCACATCCTTCGACTCATCTTATTTTCCATCTGTTCACAAACACCTTCAACTCAAATCTCAATCAAACTATTTTTATAATTGCAATCGGTAGGATGGCTAGTCCCCCCAATCCACAATCCGATGTGTCGGAGTCAGAGTCAAACTCGTCTATACCTGTATCATCAACTCTTTGTTGCTCCAAAAGTCCTCCAACACCTCGCAAGGGCTTACCAGGAATGGTACAGCCTTCCTCTGATAGCCGGTTAACTATACCTCTCCCCCAATCAACTGGATCTAGGCCTGGCACGCGCAAGAAGAAACAATCGGTGACCGCTGAAAAGTCAACAATCAGTTCCCCCGTTTCAACCCAGGTAGCAACTCGTAAGAAGAGAAAACAAGTGTCAACAGACACAAATAAGGTGAGCAAGCTCTTAGTACAATGTTATCACCGTTACTGACATGGTATGTATTGATTTTGATAGCCACCTCCTAGTCAACACGATCCATCTCAATCGGAAATGAATCAAGATTCAGATGATGGACTCAATGATCGTCAGAAAGCAAAAAGAGCCAAGGTCCTGGCAGATGATGCTGAGGAGGAGCCAGATTATCCTGCTCCAGTTGAATACTTTGGATCACCTGAACACAAAAAAGGAGATGTAAGAATCAGATGTCATATATCAATATTTTCTTTTGAATCTCTTTCTTACCAATAGTATATTCTATTCTCAGGATCCCAACGGTAAACCGTTATCTTATCCATGTCTTTGGTGCAAAAAGCTCGTTCGTGTTGTTCCCGACTCTTTAAACAACCTCAAGATCCATTGGGATGGATACAACAAGAAACGCATTCGGTACCCGTGTCGAGAACGACAGAAGGCCATCGATAGTGGACTCTGTCTTCCACCCACTGTTTTTGAGCTCACAGTTGCTTCTAATGGCCAGCAACAAATTCCTGAATTTTTCGATAGCAAGCTTCCCTTCAAGAACGACGTTCTCAACCAGATACTAGCTGTTTGGATCCTTTCTGAGGCCTTACCTTGGAACCGTATTGAAGACCCTTTACTACGAGCTGCTTTTCGGTATACTAGGCGTGACACAAAGATCCTCGGAAGAACGTGGGTAGCCAGAGAAGCTGCTGGAATTCATGCTTCATTTCAAGATACGGTATTGAACGAAATCAAAGTGAGTAATTATTTTCATTTTTCAAAACTATTATAATATAAGTTATAGTTATACAAGCTGAAATCAATGTATGGTGTCCTACTACAGAACAACACTGGTAAATTTACACTGATCCATGATGGATGGACGACACATAACAACATACATGCATTTTTAGGAGCGGCGGTAACCTTCATCGACAAGGATTGGCAATACCAGGTTCGACACCTAACGTTGAAACTAATAGCTTGGCATCATAAAGGGGTATGGCTTGCACAGCCCTTAGTGCACTTTATGAAAAAACATCGACTTCAATATAAGATAAGTTGGCAATTATTTTTGTCTTCTTCGTTTTGCTCATTCATTACTTACCTAATTTTATTTAAAAAAACCACATGCTTGCCCAGGTCACAGACTCCGGTTCAAACAATATTACTATGGCGAATGAAATGCACACCCTTTTCTCTTTGCACGAGGAAGAAAAACTCGATTCCGAAGAAACATCAGAAGCAATCATGTCACCTCAAGATGAAGCATACACATGGAATCCTAATACTGACTACGCACGGTGCTTTTTGCACAAATTGTCTTCAACTGTTAAAGGAGGATTGGAGGAACTCGGTGGAGCCACTCCATCGCGGAATTAAGAGCGAGAAGATTTCCTTGCAGTGTTTCCATTCTCAGCAACACTCCCGGTCATTGCCGAGGAGGATGAAGACAAGAGTAGCACATCAACACCTATCTTGATTGATCTTGAGGATGACCACCCAGCTCCTGACAAAGTCGATACTGATCACGACTCTGAGGGCGAAGAAGATCTAGAAGTACCTCCGGACTTTAACGCAGAAGATGATATTAATGAGGACCAAGTGGAGAGTTTAGCCAAAACTCTGCCTGATAATTCTGTGGCTAGTAAGTACCACACTACTGCTTCACGAAAGCAGGCGAATCGAATGAATGGTTTGACCAGTAAGGTAAGATCATTCCTTGCTCTACCAATTCAGTTGGATAAACTAATCCTTTTATCTTTGTTTTTTGATACAGGCCAACTTCATATCATGTCGTGTAGCTCGTTCTGCAGCATGGAGACGACACTTCGCACGCATAGCCAAAGGCATGAACCTGAAAGTTTTGCCATTGACACCAGGTTACAACGCCACTCGATGTAATGCAGAATTTGATTCGCTTAATAGGTTGGTCCAGGCAAAGAAAGTAAGTTCTTTCTTTTTTTGATTCATAGTGAATGAACATTAATTGATGTTTCTTTGCATTACAGGTTGTGAACAAGCTGTTAGCCGATGACCTGGAGCTGTTGAAGTCTAAGAAGAAGCGACGAAAGGGCACTGCCAGCATTAAAGAGGTTCCCAGATGGGAATACGGGTCCTAGTGATCAGATTCCCATTCTGCTACTGTTACACAGTTCCATGAATATTTCCTGAGTAGCCATTGTGATATATGTAGTCAATATTTTGAAATGTGCGTCTCAATCTGAACAAAGTTACAGCATGTATTACACATGATTTTCTTATCTAGATGAGCAGATAACTGAGCGGACCTGTATGTAGCTGATAGCTAAGGATTTACTCAGATGTTTGCACATATGTAGTGTATGCTTTATGGCTCAGATGTGCAGTGTAAGATGATTTGATTCTCCATTCTTCTCTCAATGATATTCCCAGCCTAGGTCATGTTCCGACCAGGGAACCTATTTAATGCTGGCAGTGGGGGAGCACTAAGCCACGCGGATACTTTCACGAGATCTATTTTACTCCAGACGACTGGAGTGCCCTTGAGGAGCTGACCACGGAACTTGCTGTGAGTTTATTTCATTATATTACTTGAGTCACGAACTTGGCTGACACCCACCCAATATCATCGAAGCCATTTTTGTCTCTCACCAAACTTATGGAGGGTGACGGACCCACAGGATGTTTGGTTATACCCAAGTTTTACGCCCTCAAGGTTCACCTCGCCTCTCGGGTTCAAGAACTCTTGTTAGGGGACGCTCTACTTCCTATGATACAATCAATGCAAGCGCGCGTGGACAGGTACATGGAGGAGGCTCTGCAGTGTGATACGACAGTCATGGCAACCATGCTGAACCCATTTTTTTGAGTCCAATTCTTTGAACGTGCCTTTGGTCCAGAGCATGAAATTACTAATCGATCTTGAAAATTATTACAAGATAAATTTGATAATCACAAGACAGAGCTTGCAAAAACAATTCAGGCCAAATCAACTCAGTGTCCTCCTATAGTCACCCCGACTACAGCATCTACATCTACAAAGGAAGTCGAATCCGAAAATTTGTTTCAACTTTTCAAGGCTCAAGATGCTGAGGTGGAGTCGAACGAGATTGACACTTATCTCAAAGGAACACATCCCATGTCTGTTAAAGACAACGCACGAGAGACCAAAGCAGTTTTGCCATGGTGGAGTGTAAGATTTTCTATCAACCTCTATTTCATTTCTGTTTTCGACTTTGTGCTGACGATGAAAACATTTACAGGTTCACTGTGGGGCATTTCCTGTCCTGGCCTCCCTAGCGCAAGACTACCTCAGTCCCTCCGCAAGCTCAGCAATAGTCGAACGAACGTTTTCAGCAGCAGCTGATATATGTTCGTCCGACAGAGTGCGCCTGGTACCTCGTACAATCAAATATTGCGTTGGTTCTCGCCTATGGTGGCGTCAGCGGGTCCCTCTAGCACACAAGTATACAGAAGTGAATGAAGCTATTGAAGGTTTTGGCGGTCGATGTCTTAAAAATTAAATGTAGTCAAAAGAAAGGTGATTTTTAATCATTCATCGATCTTTTCAAACATTGTCTTTCCAATCTTACTTTTTTAATCGTACTATTTCTATCTTTTGTACTATTTCTATCTTTTGTAACCTATGCCTTATGCCCTTTTTATATACTTACTGCCTATGAAATATATGCCTATGCCTATGCCAGTTTTGTTTAACATTGGTCCCCCTGTGAGCAACTCTGAGAGCAACGTCAGTCGAGCAACCGGGGCAACGGCTTTTTGCGTTGCGCGCAAAGCAACGGCCTTTGCCTTTGCCCGTTGCGTTGTGGGATTATGGACCTGAAATCGATGAATTGCGTTGCGCGCAACGCAGCGCACCGGCCCATCGTTGCTCCTAGACTTTGGATGGACACGTTTTGAATTGAAGGACAACTGGAAGACAATTGGCCTGAGAGCGGATGAAACAAGTAGAGACATCGCTTGGGCTGAAACAGCCGCCATTAGGATCAGACTCTTGATGCTGTAGGTTTCAACCAAGACGAAAGGGAGGAACTTCTGGGTAAAGACAGACAATACCACTACTGAATCAACAATTAACAAAAGAAGGTCAAAAAGTGAACAAGTCAATGAATAGTGGAAGAAGATCCAGGACTTACTTTTGAAACTCCAGTGCGACATCACCAAAGAGAGAGTCAATTCAGGGAACAACAATGCCGACGGACTTTTGAGAGAAGTGAATACCAAAGACAAAGTAGGAGATAGGTTGGACATAACTCTACCCAACGATCTTCAACAGTTGTTAGAACTAGCATGATCTCACCTATTATCAAAAAGAAAATCAGTCGGTTCCTACAAGACGCAAATGGAGATTGGAACTGGAAAGAGAATGAGATTCAAGTCCACATGATGTCAGGAGGTTGGGCACCAACTACTTTAATCAACTACAACAGTGGAGTATCGAAATTGATGAAGTTTGCGGCGGAAAAGAAGTACTCACGGAAAAAATTATTACCTCTATCCATAAACACCTTGTACGAGTTCGTGGTCTGGGCAGGAAAGAAATTAGACAAGAAAGAAAAACCAAGTCAGATGAATAAGAGCTCGAGTATAGAAGTGGAGACCATTAAGAAGTACCTGACTGGAATTAAGTGCTGGCACCTATTCCACGACAAGCAATACCCAAGGTACAATCAGCTGAAACTAAGTGTATCACTAAAATCATCAAAACTGGCAGAAGTCGCTTTGAGAGAGTTGGAGAAAGAGCAGAAGAGACCAGTATTGTTAAGACACCTGATACAACTTCTACGTCATCTATCAAATGGGAACAAGAGGGACCAAGTAGCCTTAACAATAGCCCTGGTAGCATTTTGGGGTATGGCACGTTTAGGAGAATTAGTATCAAATGACAAAAATAAGAAGTTAATACGGAGGAAGGACGTACAATGGCCAAATAAGAATGTTGCAATGATAACCTTGTATAACACAAAAACCGCAGCTCCGGGACAAACACAATACATAAAGTTGATGGACCAAAAATCTTACCTCGACCCAACCAGTGCTCTAGAAAGGATGGTGGAAGATAACAAAACAGGTCCTAAAGACCCCCTATTCTCTTATATAGAACGCAATGGAACCAGGAGCGTGATATTGAAAACAAAACTTTTAGGAATCTATAGGAGAGTCTGGGGAAAGAACGAAGAAGAAAAACTTTCAGGACACTCATTCAGAGTGGGAGGTGCAACACTGAGATGGAACAAAAAGAAGTCAATAGAAGAGATAACAACAATAGGATGTTGGAAGTCAAAAGCGTACCAACCGTACTTAAGAAAATATAACACAGAAGAAAAGAAAGAGACCAAAGAGCTGTGGAAACTGTTAAAGTTGAAAGATTGTAAGTGAGGATCTGAGAAACAAGAAGTGGAAAGAGACTGATTTGATACATGCTTGTAGATCAGATAGAACCATGCAATGGAAGGGAAGAGAAGAAGTGAACTGAAGGTAAGTTAAGATTCAGAATGAATGGGGGGAAATACAGGGGAGATGTGCATACATGTAAATTTAAAGTTTATAGTATTCATTGGGGAAAATATGGTTCGGAGATAACAAGACCCTCTGTACCGCTGTCATAGATAGGTTTTTGACAGGCTCAGGACGCCATCCATCCAGAGAGCTGGAGGTAGAAAACCTCTCTCTGACAGGCAGTCCGCGGCCTACGCCCCCCCCAAACACCAGGTCAAAGCCTTTCACAAAAAAAGATTAGACCTAGCAAGAGATTGCTTGAAAGATAGAGATGGGCATTTAATGAGAACTGAGCAAGTCACCACGCCAAAGATGGATTGACACTGGTGGCCAAAGGCACGACGTCACCGGTGAGTTCCATCGGGACCCGAGACACAGTGGATGAGAGCAGAGACGGGGCCGGGACACACGGCCCCCAGGAAGATAGGATGTACAAACTTTTGAAAATTTCAATTTCAAAGTTTCAATACACCCATCTCTCTCATACACCTCAACGTTCAAATTTGTAAAATCTCTTGATTTAACGCTAGCAGCTTCAAAAGAAATAAAACATTTATTTTCAAAAACCATCCCGCCCGCCCTACAAAGCCAATCAAAGAAAAGAACAGGCAACGGTTGAGAAGGGACAACTAAGTAAGCAAAAAGCGAAAGGAACAGTTATAAGGGTTCTCATGGGCCACCCACCCGCCCCGCCCACAAAAACCTCTCTCTGATAGGCAGTCCGCGGCCTACGGCCCCCCCCAAACACCAGGTCAAAGCCTTTCACAAAAAAGGATTAGACCTAGCAAGAGATTGCTTGAAAGATAGGAATGGGCATTTAATGAGACTGAGCAAGTCACCAGGCCAAAGATGAATTGGACCGGGGGCAAAATGGCAATAGGTGTCAAAATACAAATAGTTGTTTTTATCAAATCATCTTTGCTAAGGCAAATTCTGTTCTAGATACAACAAGTTGAGTGTCTGAGAATCCTTTGTTAGTTATCGAATAGGCTTGGTGGACCACACTGAGTCTGGGCTTGTATGGTTGTGAGGCTCTCAAAAAAATTGATGAAGTTGACTCAAAGAGTGGGCAGAGTTGCAGGCATTTGGCTAACTGACTACCCAAATTCAGCTGTTGAGAATTCTCACCATACTATGCTCAAACTGTTTTCATAAGTTAAAGTACCTATGTAGTCTCTGATGACAAGTCCCTCATTGAATTACCTAGCAAACACAGTTGAAAATTATCTGTACCAAACAATAACAAGTTATCAATAAAGCAGACCCAAAATGAATAACAAAAAAACCAATACATGTATATTTTTCAGAAACGATTGACAGTTGAGAGAAGATGAAAACTGTTTTACATAAAATAATAAAGACAAGGAGTGTACGTGAAGAAGTTGATAAGGCAGTTTGAACAAGATATTCATCTGGAGAGAAATCGATTACAATTTTATCATCCTGGTGCATTCCTTCACCACCAGGACCTACGGCG